GTTGTTTTGAATTTTAATGCATTTATGTCTTTTAATCCGGATCCGAAATCTGAATATAATGATCAGCTCATACGAGCTACGAACATGACTTTTTCTGCTTTACGTTTCATGAAGACCTTCAGGGCTGGTTATCTTGAACCAGAGGTTTTTCACCTCAATCCGGAAAGAAGTGACACTCAGATGTTTAAAAAAATTATCCGATTTGTGCCTTCTTCACTTTCTTGGTTTGGTGCCTACATGGTCAACGCTTACCCCTTAGATATGTCTCAGTACTTCAGGCTTTTCAATTCTACGCGGCTGCCTAAACTCCACAAAGATGAGCTTTATACAGATGAAAAGGCAAAACATTTACTGGTACTGAGAAACGGGAATTTTTATGTATTTGATGTTATTGATAGAGATGGAAATATCCTGAAACCTTCAGAAATACAAGCACACTTGAAATACATCCTTAGCAACAACAGTCCAGCCCCGGCCTTCCCTCTTGGCTACCTCTCCAGTGAAAATCGAGATACATGGGCATTGCTGAGAAAGCATCTACTGGATAATGGCAATGAAGAAGCTCTTCAAAAAGTAGACTCTGCGGTGTTTTGTTTAAGTTTAGATGATTTTCCCGTTAAAGACTTTGTGCACTTGTCACATACTATGTTGCATGGAGATGGTGCTAACCGCTGGTATGACAAATCCTTTAATCTTATCATAACTAAGGATGGCACTGCAGGAATTAATTTTGAACATTCCTGGGGAGATGGTGTGGCTGTGCTCAGGTTCCAGAATGAGGTTTTTAAAGATAGCACCAAGACACCAGCCATCAGCCCCCAGTCCCAGCCTGCTTCAGTAGACTCTTCTAGAGCAGTACAGAAACTTGACTTTAAGCTGAATGATGCCTTAAAAGCAGGAATTACCAAAGCCAAACAGAAATTTGATGCCAGTGTAGAAGCACTGTCTCTTAATATGATTCAGTTCCACGAAGGGGGCAAGGACCTTCTAAAGCAGAAGAAGTTAAGTCCAGATGCTGTGGCTCAGCTTGCCTTCCAGATGGCTTTCTTTCGACAATACAATCAGACTGTTGCTACATATGAGTCTTGTAGTACTGCAGCTTTCAAACATGGTCGTACAGAAACTATACGTCCTGCCTCTATCCATACAAAGAAATGTTCGGAAGCTTTTGTCAGGGAACTGTCCAAACATAGCACAGAAGAGCTTCAGAAGTTGATAGCAGAGTGCTCAAAGTACCATGGCCGTTTGACAAAAGAAGCTGCTATGGGTAAGTAGGAATGTATTAAACACTCTTGTTTTTGCACTAAAATGTCTATTAAGGTTGCTGTAAACATTTACTTCACAACTAAATAATTTAATTTTGATGGAAGTCTAATGTTAATGTAAACTTGACAAAAAATGGTAGCAGAAGTCTGCAGTTTAAAAGGCATTCTCTAAGACTCGTTTCTTGATGGAGGAGAATGCCTCTGTGCTTCCCATTTCACTATTAACGTGTTGAGAAATTTTTATTCTTTAGTTTTTGTCCTTATAGCAGCTGGGCTATTTGAAAATTTGATAAATACTTAGTGCATGTTGTACTCCCCAAGGCAGCCAAGAACTTTGGCTGTATGTCTGAGGAGTTACTACCGTAACCCTGCAGGGCATAAAGGCTTTAACAACTTCCAAATCAAACCAGTTCTTTGGCTCTGCTGCTGCTGGTATTTTTCTAAATGCTTGCTTTTGAATTGTCCTTCCCAGAAGCATAACTTGTTGTATTGTTTCAGTAAAATTGACTGAACATTACCACATAGAGTCTAAAATTTGCCGCCTTTTGTTGATGCAAGATCCTCTTCCTCTTTCAAGTAATAAATTTTAGGAAAGCCTTTCTCTGTTTTAAACAACCTGGATATATTCAGATAAATAGTTAATCAAAGAATGCAATGTATTATTAAAATTGTCTGTTAACATTGCGCTTTTGATTACTATCATGATTCCTGGTTGAGGCTAGCAGTAAACCAGCAAGCCCTCATTCCCTAGGATATGTGCATTAAAAGTGCAGAATATGTTGGGTTCTGAAAAATGATTCCTGCTAATATGAAAATAAACCCCAGTTCTATAGACCTCCTCTTTTGTAGCTGAAAAACAATGTGATGTCAAAATACATGAGTTTACTTCCCACAGAAATTAATCATCTCTCTAATACTTGTTCTTTTATTTTAACAGGTCAGGGATTTGACCGACATCTCTTTGGCTTGCGCTATTTAGCCTTATCCAAAGGCATTGCACTGCCTGATTTCTATCAAGACCAAGCCTATGCTCGGCTTAATCACAACATCATTTCTACCAGCACATTGGTTAGCCCTGCTGTGCAATTAGGAGGGTTTGGCCCAGTGGTATCTGATGGCTTTGGAGTAGGATATCAGGTACATGATGATTGGATAGGTTGTAATGTTTCCTCTTACCCAACTAGGAATGGTAAAGAATTCCTTCAGTCTATATACAAGTCACTAGAAGATATCTTTAATGTTTTAAAGGGCAAGAAAATCAGTAGTTAAAACATAGTTGGAACACTTTACAGTTGCAGTACAAAATACAGACTATGTCTAATTGGCATACTAATCAGTGTTCAACATGACTGAGACTGCCCAGCTTAATTGGCTTCATTTATCTTCATTGAACTTGAATACTGTTAGATTTACTATGAAATTTGTATCTATTGTAAAGAAATCAAGTACAGACCTTGAATGCATGTTTCAGGAAATACATTCACAATGTCAAAATTAAGTAACATCCATCTGTTCCAACAGATCCATCTGTTCTTAAACTACATTATTTAAAATAAAAAGCATTGTTACTGAGTTTATGAACTCAGAACATCTGTGTTCCATGAGTGTTCAGACAGACAACAGCACTGTGATACCACTCTTAAGTGGTTTGATTTTTAAAAAATATATGCAATAATTTTAAATAGAAAGAGTGGTTACATTTGCACTCTTGCAGTAAGCTTGCTTACTAACTTGTCACACTTACTTTTCTCTTTAAACTTGAATCAATATCAAAATGGATTGTGCCTCAAGTGCTTGAAACCTTTCCACTGTAACAGCTTTTTGAGAAACAAAAAATGAGGTGGGAGGTTTTAAGTAATCTGCAATCACCAACTGTGTTGTTAAATTGACCGGAAAAGACTGTATTGTAATAAAGCTATCTACTAATAACTACAAAGTTCTTTTGTTGCCATATCAAAATAGTACAGTATGGGTAGTCCCTTTATCAATAGCTTGTGTTTCTTGTAAAGGTTGAAAAGAATACTACGGAAAGCATGCTGCAGTGTTGGCTCTCCCCTTCCATATGTGAAGTCTGTCCAATAATCTGCTTTTGTTTTGTTACATAAACCTGTGCCCTTGTGCCTTAAAAAAGAAAAAAAATCACTGAAGTTTATCTTTTGGGGTTCTCTCTTTCCAAACTTCCTCTTACTGTGGAAAAGTAACCTCAGCAGAACATTTTACTGTTTCCTCCTTGTTCTATTAGCTAGAAATTTTGATGTCATTTACTGTAGCAAATGGCAGAGTCTTAGTGCCTAGAGCTGCGTCTTCAGTGCTTTGGGGCTTGTTGCAGTAGTTCTAAAGACTAAGACTTACCAGAACACTCTGAGGGATTGCAGGACAGCTTGAGCGTAGACATCAATAAAACTTAGTGATGCCGTGAATGCGAGAGGAAACTGATGCAGACAGTTCCTTGTGTGCTGCTCACAACTGGGACTCGGTGGTAGCAGAAGGGGAAGGGAACTTTGTGGGTCAAGGAACCAAGGTTGCTGGCATTCCAGCACAGATGCCCTTTGCATGAGATAGCCCTTTTGGCCCAAATTTTGTTATGGTATAAGTTGAACTCCTCTGCCTTCTAAACCCTGACGTCTTCCACTGGTTTTCTTCTGGGAAGGCAAGTCTTTCTCTGGAGCCAAATAGCACAGTAGTGTTTGCTTCTTTCTGCAGCTGTCAGCACAGCTTACTGTGACCTTGACAACCTAATATATTAGCAGAACATAAATTCTGAGCACATTGGTTGGACGTGACAGATTAGGTTCAGAGGCTCAGAGACCTACTTGCCTTTATTCTTCCATTGGATATCTTTGCTCCCAGGTTCTCCCAGTGTCTTTTCTCTTTCTCACAGTAAGTGTAAGCCATACTGTATCTTGAAGTATGAAGTGCAAGTGCTAGGAAGGGTGGAGGCATGCTTTAAATATGTAAGCCGAATGGCTTATAAACTTTTCCTAGTGAGGGCTGTTTCCTCTGCAGCCTGTAATGTGCTGTTCCTATTTTTAAGTTGAATTATTTTAAAACTTCCTTTAAAAGGTACCATGATTATTCTTGCTCATTTAAACAAGAAAGGAAGGTGATCATGTAGGGGGATGAGGGAAATAATATATCAGGAAACAATCAGACCAAAAGCCTTTGAATTAAACTCACTAAAGAAAGTTTTAGGATTTGTGGTTTTGTGGGTTTTTTGGTTGTTTTTATTGGCTTTTTTTTAAGCATAAGAACAGTTGGCAAGATTGTGAGCCAAGAAGCAGAAAGACTGTCTTTAACTAGAAATGAGTGAGGTTTACTATGACTTAGTCAGAATTTCAGAAGATCTAACAGCTATGTGTAAGTGTCAATAGCAGTCAAGCTTATTAACTGTTCTCAGTGAACTCGCTTGAGTGTCTTTACTTGAACTGGCAGAAAGCTATTACAGATGTACCTTTTCACTTGGACCAGTTAACACAGTCCCTAGCCATTTCCTGATGATCTGAATGGTGAGTGAAAAGACCTTACTTGCTTATGTTAGAGAACCAAATGTGATATTTCTTGGTGATAAGCTATTGAAAACTTTAAGGCAGTAAATTGTCTAAATAGTTACTGTAGTTTCGCTATAGTCCATCACAACCATATGTATTCCGAAAAAGACAACATTAAGAAAATGGTACAGTTCAGTCAAATGTATATACTATTTTTAGCTTGTACTGAGGCCATCTCAAAAGTGCTCTGTGGAAAATACTTTATTAGGACGTCCTGGGGACAGTAAGTACAATGTAGTTTTCCATTTCTGAAGTATAGCCATGTGAAAAGTAACTCCGAGGAAACTGCATCTGTGATGGTTACAGCTCCTTCATCAATAAACATGTTGAGATTATTAGGGGTATGAACTTTAGCATTTTACAAATTTATGGGTAACTTCATAGATTCCAACAGATTCCTTTGTTTTTTCATCATAGTCATTCCAATCCTATAGGAAATGAGATTTCATAGTATTAGTCACAGAGGATAGAATGCAGTAGTGTTTAAACCACTGACTGGAATTCAAACTGAAACTAAGCCTTACTCAAAGTTTGGGTCTTAGATTTCTGTGGAAAGCTCTGTGCAGTCACTAAGCTAAGTTCTGATATGAGAGAAGCAAGAGTACTGATCTGAAATTGGGCTTCAGTCTCAGTGTTTGAACAATGATTTTTTTTTTTTTTTCAAATGTAGTCCACAGCCTGTAGTGGATAAGACAGCAACCACGGCAGATGAAAGGATTAGCTATCATATACAATACCCCCTAGTCACGTGGGTAAGCAGACAAGCAGATCCCTGCCAAGTAGGATACCAGGGAACAGATTTGACCTTGAGATTCTTGCTCACAGCCAAGGAAGATTTGCAACGCTGGAGTCATTATCCTGAGCTTTGAAGGACAGTGTCTTTATATTACTTTTTAATATCTTTGTGCACTAGAAAAAGTGCAGGCGTCTTCCTAGAAATAGCAGTTCACCACTCTGAATAACCCCAGCCATTTAGTATTCCAGGTGTTTGCTCTCTGGAATTCCTGAGGGACTTACTTAAAAGAAAAGTTGCATTTATACCTTTGTCAGCTGCTAAGCTATCAACTGTGTACTTGTAAAATGACACTGTTAGTAATGCTGGTTGTTCATAGTTGATTTAGTTTCTTTCTCTAGCTGTGACCTTCCCATGCCTACATGAAAGAGCAAAACTAGTCTCTTGCATGTTCAGCGTGTGTGCTTTGGACTAGTGACTTAGGGCAAGAAAGCTAGATAGATTTACTAATGAAACTAAGACAACATACCTTTTCTAATAAGTTTATGTCATTGAAAGGTGTGCCAGATTCTGCACCTTCAGCAGCAAACCCTGCCTGCAACACATTTGCAGTAAGTTTTTAAGAATAAGTTGTATCAAGACAATAATAAATATGATAATTGAAACATGTTTAAAGAAAGTAACCCAGCACAAAATTTTACTTTATTTCTTCTAAATTAGGTAGAAAGAATGGTCAAGCTCCTTCCTGGTTAAGGGTCAGTGTAAGGTTGTGACTCTGTGAGTTGGGAAAATTCAGATGAAACAACCACAGAGTAAAATGAAGGAACACTGCTCCTCTATTTTTCCTGCCAAAAAAGTGTTTCCAAGAACTCCAGATAATGTTAAAATTGAGTTTCGTGAGTTTACATCACACCATCCAGCTACTAATAGCTTCAATTTATGTTCAGAATCCATACAGGCATTATGTATAAAACAGCTTCATAATCAACTTAGACTGCAAGAAAACAATAGAAAAATGTGGAAGAGAGTTAATAATTTTGGCTTAAATATTGTCAGAATCCAAGACACTCTAGAGAAGGAGCAGCCTGTATTGCATTTAGGTACAGAAGTGACCAGCAAGCATTACCTGAAAGGAGGATCAGCTGGCTGAATGAACGGATTAGTAAACCCAAACAATCATTTCAAAGGGGAGTTGTTCACTCTTGTTACTGTTGCTGTTTTTGAAGGGTCAATGAAAGGAAATAGTGTGTAAGTGGACTATAGTACAAGGAAATAGTGTATCAGTGGACTATAGCACAAGAACAATGTGTTCTGTTTTATCTTTGATGGGAACAGTTCGCTCATTCTAGGGTTCACAGTTATCAGGTGTAAATTAAGCTTTCTTAGTTTTCAACGTAAATTCAAAAATCTCAGCCATCTCTGTAGAATACAGAAAGGTTTCTTACATTGCCATTTCTAACTATAGAATTTTACTAAGAAGTAGCTAAAGAGCAAAGGTAGCTTCTTCCTGGTTTTCTGCAAGGGATCTACACTTGCATTTTTCATAAAGAAATCCCCACTAGTGCCAGTCAGACATTTAACTGTAAGAATGTGTGATTTGAATGGAAGGTTAAGCACTTGGGAGTTAAATAAACCACAGAGTGTGGCAGACGTAACAACAGGAGAGTTATCTACAAGGCTCAGTGTGAATATGGCCTTTATATAATTGTCAGAAGCTAGTCTGAAGGGAACTGTAGGGGTGGAGAGATCAGCATCATGGGACAAAAATGCAGACCTGCAGTATAAAACAAACACTAGAAAAATAAAAGAAGCCCTGCTTTTGCCACCTGGAGATATCCACCAGCCCTGCAAGGGAAAAGAAGCCATGTGACTGGAATTACAAGCTTCTGTACAGGACACCCAGCAGGACTTGCATTCTTACAGCTTAGGCGTCAGAGCCTAGACTCGTTTAATCTCCGCAGAAGGGACATGCAGTGACTTTTCTGCCCTCTGCTGACTGGCGAAGGACCAACAGTTAAAGCATAAACACGCCAAAGAAGCAAACAATGCCTATTGGCCTTACAAAACGGTGAATTGTCACACTTTTGTTACCAATGAAACTATTGTTTGTGCCACAAAGCAAAGAGGCTTAAGGAGGTTTAAGAGAAATTTTATAAAGAAACCTCCAATTTTTAGCTGAAGCATTCACTTGAGGGACAAAGACAGGAAAGGAGCTGAACTATCCACAAGTAAACCCAAAAATTATGCATCAGATTTGCAGTAGATGTATCTGCTTAAGCACATTAAACGAGAAAGATAAGTAATTGGGGGAAAAAAATTGTCCTTGCCCATTATTAGAACAAGTACCTAGTTTGAATTTGTTGCTGCTGCTAGGTAGGAAAAGAGGGCTTATATCAGGGAATCAAAGGATACTTTCTCCTCTTTCAAACTCAAAATGATTTTTTTGAGAAAACTACTGTAATTTAAATAAGACATGCAAGCATTAAGCCACTCTAAATTGACTTCAGGTATGGTTGTATTATGTCTATCAATAAATACAAAGAAAATACAGTAATGCTATGGCCTTACGCTATGATGCTGATCAAAAGCCAGATGCAAGGTTGTGGGGAAGCCAGGCTGGCTTGAATCATGTCAAATACAAAGCAGTTTAGAGAATTGTTTGGATCTGCAGAAGTCTATATATTTGCTCATTTAGGCATCACAAAATTCACTGAACTATCTTCTCAGGGATTCAAGTGTACTCTCCAATAGAGTGCACAGACCAAACTTTGAGAATATTAAATTAAAAGCTTCATCACAGCTGTGAAGTCTTTGTTCTGCAGAAAAAATAAAAGTGTCAGCTAGGATGCAGAGTTATAAACATCTCCTACATTTTGTAGTCTTCTCATAGATTTTTTCTTGAAGTGTAAGTTCCTAGGTCTGGCTGCAAAGCTTTCAGACAGGAATAAACTAATAACCATTCTGTTCCTCAAAAAGATGAGCTTCAATAAATATACAAATAAATAAAAGACCTCCTGCAGCATACTGTGGTGATGATTTTATTTATACTGAATTTGTTGTAGGATCAGCTTTTTTGGTCGGTTTCTTAGCAGCGTCACAGTCTGAGGGAAGGATAAGACAGGTTTATATTTGTCAGTCTATTTACACCTAATCCGACTGGAATAATAGGTTAAATATAGTAGGGAGTTAACTTGCATACAGCATGACCATGCACAAGCAAATGAATCACTGAAGACTAGCTTGGCCCTGAAGAAATCCTTTAACTCTGAACCTTGAGGTGTGCTTTGCAACAGTCTGTAACTGCCATTGATCTTCAGTCTTTGTCTCATCAAATTTCAAATGGAATACCACCAATACTCATTCCCTATGGCTTTGGTGATATCAAATCTCAAAGAAAATGTGATGTTTTTTAGAGGCCATATACTGAAGACTGTTCATAACCTGAACTTCCTTTACTCCCTGTAACATACCAAGAAGCAAAGTGGTGCTTTCCTGAACATGGCTATCTACTTATACACTCTCGCAGTTCCATTTTGGGAAAGACTCTTTTGCTATAACCTGAGCAATGAAGACCTTGCAAGTGAATTCAGATGAGCAGTGCCGAGTCACCTGTTAAGGCAATTGAATACGACTCCAAGGCATGTTTAATTTTAGATTTTACTGGCACAAAGAATACCAGAGTTGTTAGTGTTAGCTGCTTGCGGGGTTTTTTTTTTTTTGGAGTCAAATGAAATAAAGAACTGTGGAGAGGATGGAAAACTGGGTACGTCTAGGATGTTTCAGGAAAAGCAGTACCATTTCAAATAGTGTGTCTTATCACTCTACGCTCTATACGAAGTGCTCTTAAAAGCTGAGAAACAAGTCACGAATAAGATCTCACCTGTGGCTGAAAGTCAACCGGTTCCATGCCCTCGGCATTCAAACTCCACTATTGTTTTGAATTTCTCACTGTCTTCAGCCTATAATTGAGGCAGAATACCATTAGTTTTCATCTAACAGAGAAAGACAGTGACAAGCATTAGTCTGGGAATGAATTGCTTTAAAGGCAGTACTATCAACTCCCATGTCCCAAGTGACAGCAAAATCCTAGGGCTCATTTAATAGGTGGTAATTAACTAGAATTTCTTAATCTGCCACAAGGAAGCCTTCAAAAGGAAACCAATAGGGGCACTATATAATCACCTCTGAGTGATACAATTTTGTGGTTTGCTTATGAAATGTATCAGATTATTCTACACTTGAGACTATACTGGAGTCTACAAGAGACAATTTTCTGTCGGGAGAATACCAACTTTTTGTGTTCTTGAAAGAGGAATGTAATAATAAAGCAAACCCGCAAAATATTACTAAGCCTATTTATCTTTCACTTGTTATATAAAAGAGAAAACAAACTTACGTTGTAAGGCTTGATTGTCTGACTTAAAATATCTAAAAAGAATAAAATCAGAAGAGTCAAAGTGAGTGGCATTATGTCTTCAGTTTTATTCAGCACAAACCAAGCACAGGCTGCTTCTTTCAAAGAAATTTCCTTATACAAAGTAAAAGAAACAAAGTAACAAAGGAGTTCCTGCAGTTGGCCCTCAAAAGGTAGAATTAAATTTTTCTCACTTCTCCTGAGAAGTCTACCTTACACTTTGTTACCCTACCAACCCCCCAAAAAATTGCATGCTTTTGTAAAATTACATTATGGATATAAGTTTTGTTCATGCAGAATCCTGAACTCACCAGGAGGCCTTGCTGTCTCCTGCATGAGCATGATGACAAGTACCTGCCTGTTGTAAACTCAAGCACCAGTGTACAAGGAAAAAAATCCCTGGTGAATACTTTTTACAGTGTCAAGCAAAAATGGGGACTAAAAAATAAACAAAATGGATGATGCCTCCTAAATTTCTAGCACGTACCAATGGAGTTCTCCCTGGAGCACAGCTTGCATTTCTGCACCATAGTGGCACTGCCTCTGCCTCCTTTCAGGGGAGCGCTGTCCTAAAAGCCAGGACAATAGAGACATCATTTTTAACTGCACAGCTGAGCCACTGGAAACCTCTGCAAAGGTAAAGGAGTTTTTACAACAATGGTGTTTAACTTTTTAAAAATATTGCAACAAGAGGCTTTTTTTAAACTAGAGAGATCTATAATTCAGAAAGCTGTGATTATCAAGGAATAATTCTGTTCTAGACTTAAAATAGTGAATAATGGATAGTTATGTCTTGTCCATATAGGCATGTTCCATTAATTCCTCAAAATACATTCTTACCATTCAGTAATATGCCTCAAAAAGGGATGATTATTCCTAAGAACAGAACCTTCTCTTATCCCTGACAAATTTTATCCTGCTTTTTCAGTTTCCAAATGCTAATTTAGCATGCTTAACTCACCTCCAATTACCTCAACTTCTCCAAAAAGATTCCATCAGCATCAGAGAAATATACTACAGCCACAACCTTATTCTGATATCACTTCAAAATTTGTTTTCAAATTATATTTTTACAGAAAAGCATCTTTTCAAAGCAGATGTAAATACTTTGTCACCCACAGTCACCATTCCAGTGGCATATTTCAATTATCAGTCTCCAAATATTTTTTTTTATATGGAATATGACAAGATTTCTTGAATGCATATAGCTATTAAAATACTATCTCATCTAAAGTGCAATTAATCATAACCCTGACGCTAATATCCCTTGCATGTAAGAGGCAGGTTTGTTTTCTCATTTTTGTTCTGATACAGGTTACAACAGGGAAACATACCATCAATCGCAGATACTGCCATTTTTCAGAAACTTCACCACAGTTCCCACATTTCAGCTGAAAAATAAAGATAACTGAGAGAACTTAAAGCTGCCAATAGTCAAGGATTAAAAAGCTGAAGGAGCTGATGTGAGTCCCCCAGATTCACGCTCCCCACTGTTGCACAGCTGAGAGGAGCTGGAGGCAGGTATTGGTCACTGTCTATCCCGACAGGCCCGTGAGCTGGCTCAACCTGGCAGCTACGCTCGCCGCAGAGGGTCTGCCCTTCAGCGCGCTGGATGGAAAACGTGTTACAAAGCACGGTCATGGAATAAAAGGTGGGAATAGCACATCTCACCACTTACCTGGGCTACCTGCCAATGGGTACTGGATTACCAACCACCTCACCAATGGAGGCACTGACCAACACTTGAACTTAAGACTTTTCGTAATTGCAAACTAATGTATAATGCAATGCATACACTAATGTGTAAGT